TGGGAATGATTCCAGTGGATTCGACTGGATGGCATCTACTTCCACCAGCTCTGAACTGAGCCCTAAAATTTAATCTCCTGATGGGATAGCATTTGCTTGGAATAATTTATAGGGCTTGACTGTGCTCGCACGTTCACTGGTGTAAATTGAGGCTAATTCCTTATACAGGATGGCCCAGTGGTTAGGGCACAAACCTAGGACTTGAGATGTGGGTTCAAACCCCAGTCTGTGTTGTTCAGGAAGCTGTGGTAGGTAACCCTATAATGGTCCTTTCTAGAACTAAAAATACATGGATTCTTAAATGAAATTAACTTAGCTGAGAGCAGAATGAAATCCCAAATAGTTCCATCTCAAGAACAATCAATTTCCAACCAGAGCAGTGTGCTTAGGCACAATGGTCCCCCTTTCAGAGATGCCTTTAGGTGTTTTTAATTATTTCTCACTGTGCCTGTTCACATGGAAGTCTCCTATCTTGTTGTAGCAACACAGGACTCCCAATGCACTAAGATTTAGTTCCTTTGGATTGATAACGGATCAGACAGCTTAGATGTAGTCCCAGTTTTATTACAGGCGATGGTTTCAAATACTGAATTCAGATGAATGTTTTTTTACTCATCCTTACACCGAATGTTTTGATAGCAGATGTGTCCCATGAAAACACAGCCTATGATGATACTAAGGTGGATGGAAGAGATGCAAAGTAAGTAACCCATTTTTACAAAAGAAGACTACTTCTGGAATGTTTCTACAAAACAGGTTCTTCTGCTGCAACCAATATTCCTCCACAAATCTGTGGCATGGCATATATAGGCTTTCAGACACGCAATTTCACTGTACCTTTTATAAGCTAAGCAAGGTAGGGTATTTATAGGAATTCTCTAGGGAAAGCTCAGTTGATCCAGGGAAGGATGTTTCTGAATTGGCAAGCAACATCCTAAAAATATTGCAAGTGAATACAAACTACTGTCTTTTTTGGATGCAATGTAAAATGAAGCCTTGAGAACCTGTGGGTCATGAAACTATCAATAAGAATTGGGGAATTAAATCCCTAATGTCTCCATTCCAACTCTTGCTTGTCTAGGTGCACTTTTCTGTCTGCAAATTGTCTACCGTAATCTTGACTAGATAACATATACTTCATTTCTTGCTCTTCAACTACTGAATAGTATTGATATAAACTGGTATAAGCTGCAAGGTTCCTGCATTGTGCTTGTGGTATGTAACATTTAGGGATTTTAAAAATAAACTTTGTGCTACCCTTCTGTTTGAAAAGGATTATTATTATAAATCTCATCAGTTCTTTTTGTCCCCAGAGAGAAAGATGACAAACACAAAAATTGGAAGCAAAAATTTCTGATGCTGAAAGATAAAGATACAACAAGAAGCAGTGAAGATACACAAAAGTAATGAAAGATATTTTATTTCTATAATATGTATTCTTCATAATTAAGTGCAAGTTGTCAGTCTTCCCAGCCCTTTATACAGGTTGAACCTCTCTAGTCCAGAACACTCTGGTCTGGAAACATTCATAATCCTGAATTTTAGTTAGCCAGATGTACGCTTTTCATGGGTGTAGCCAAGCTTCCCATGGTCCCATAAAAGTTTGTTTACAGCTGCCAGTCCTAGCTCTCAGTATTCTGTGCTGCTATTTAGCTCTAATTCACCCCTAAATGTCTCCAAACAGCCTAGTAAGCAGTAGAAATATTAGTAATTAGTCCCCCAGCGTGCTGCACAATAATCGTCTGTGGATCTTGCAGAAGCACCCTAAAATTTCCCTAGTGCTCATGGGTGTACTGATGCTTTAATCAACAATGTAGGAAGGTCAGAATTCTAGGTAAGTTTTAAAGTTTCTCTCTTACCAACAGAACATGAGCAATAGGAGGAATTACCTCCTGTAACTTCTCTCAAATATCCTAGGACCAACAGGGTTACAGTTTTCCTGGTGTGAAAACTGAAGTGTAAAGCCCGAATTTACGAGTTTCACTTCAAATACAAAAATGTGAGCACAGCTCTAGATAGCAACTGATATTCTGGGACTTTTAAACAAGTATTGCTGACCCTTCAAGTATCATTAGCATCTTGACTAGCAGTCACTCTTACATCCATCTTAATGGAACTGCAGTATCAGGTACATGGCATTTCTTCCTTTTAACCTACTTGATAAGATTTCATCTGTTACATTGACATAGTCATTTTAGGGGTGGGAAGTAGCAGTAAGAATCTTGTTAATCTGATCTGAAATGCTTAGTCTTTAAGAGCTACCTAACTTTGGCTCTTATTTTCTATTTTTAGTAACATATGAGTGTCTTATTTTGGTTTTAGAATATCCTGATGTTGTCATCATGCCATAGCTTTCCTGATATATGTGGATCGATACTATTTTTATCTAGAGAGTAATCTCAAACAAGACTGATTTCCATGGTACAAGATTTCTCCCACAATGGAGTTTTGTCAGTGGGGCTGGGATTTCACCCTGTGTTTAAAAGCTCAAAGGACATTTAACCCTATGCTGCTGAAGGATATAAAGAGTGAAGGGAGAAGGGGGTTAATGCTCTTATAAAAAAGAAAAGAGAGAGAGCCCAAAATTCATTCATCTGACTTACTAGACATAAATATATATATAATAACTGAAGACTTAGTGCTGAATTTCAAAGGTAAACCTTGATAACTAAAATGCAATAAGAAATGTACTGTAGAATGGCTAGTGAGGTGGAAGAGGCTTAATCCTTTTTCCATAGTTTCCTATTTATTAATGATCCAGAATTGAACACTATTCTGGATCAGTTTCGACCCACCTTTAACATCTTTCAGATGTTTGTGGAGGGGAAGTTTCCAAGGTGGTATCGGGAAATCGAAGGAGGGAAAGGCTTACTTACTAATTTTGTAGCCTTTCTGATTTCCAATTGTTGCATGTCATGTTTATTGTGTGATAGAAGAGTGAAAACTTCAGAGCATTTTTAATCCATGCTTCTCCGTGGAAGGGTAATGGCCTACTACCAGCTAGACAGGCTTCCATGCCCACTTCGTGTCCCATTGACTTCGTTTGACTCCTTAAGTGTCCAGCCATTTCGATCTCCCACCCCCACGCCCATTTATGATTTTATTGCCGGGAGAAAGCTTCCTCATTTTCCTCCTGCCCTACTTCTATAAAAATTAACATAAACTATTGAACATGTTCTCTAGCAACTGTATCCCTTGAAAAGCGCAGCTTTATTCGAAACACAGATATCAAGTGAATCTGTCACTGAGCCTAGACTGGTCCAAGCTGCCTACATTTGTGTTTAATGCACACTATGAGATGACGGTGACACAAGCAACTTGCTTTGTTCTTGCAAGGTTTCATTCCAAACTAAATTAGAATGATTCGGTGCTGCTATAATGCATGGTGCTGTTTCATGCTGCTTCGTGCACTGAAGGATTAAAAAGGAGTTGCTAAGAATGTCTCCTCTCTTTTGATACATTCTTTTTGCTAGGAACGTCTTCAAAGTCAAGAAAAATAACATAGATCAGAGAAAGAAGGTGACAAAAGAAGAGAAGCTATTTAGAGAGAAGTTCATGGTATGTGGTCTTGATTTTTGCTCTTTAAAGGAAATAAGCAGTGCAAGAGAACAGCTGTGGTTGTGTCTGTTACTTAAAGAATGAGCTACAGAAAGCAATCAATCTTTATCTATAGTATTTTGGATACTCTTCAGCAGCATCCCATGTTGCAGATCTGTGGCTCAGTCCTTTTAAAAGGCCACACAAATCCTCATGTAACTGCGGCCATGTCTATACTGCCGTTATTTTGAAATAACTTTCCTAGCGTCTACACAAGCCAACTGCTATTTCAAAATTAATTTGAAATAGCGGAGAGCTTATTTTGAAATTGATAAACCTCATTCCACGAGGAATAGTGCCAATTTTGAAATTGCTATTTTGAAATAAGTACTATGTAGATGTTAATTTCGAAATAAGGGGCCTCCAGCCCTTCTCAGGGTGCCCTGCTGGCCGCCCTGGACACAAAGTAACTTCTGACCTGATGCCCTGCCAGAACCAGTTCCAGCTAGCCTTAAATGCGATTCAGCATCCAATCAGTGTGGATGAGCTATTTTGAAATGCATTTTGTGTGTATTTATTTTGTGTGTATTTATTTTGTGTAAGATATTTCGAAATAACGCTGTAGTGTAGACATACCCTCTGAGATTAACAACCTGGAGATCAGTCTTCTGGGGTTTGATTTAGTGGGTTTAAATCAACTGCTCATTGCAATCCCGCTGACCCCAGTACTCCATGAGGTTGCACAGAGGATGGGAAGTTGACGGGTGTGTTTCTCCCGTTGACCTACCGCAGTGGAACATGGTAGAAATTTGACTTAAAGTACATAGATTCCAGCTACGCTATTCTCATAGCTGGAGTTGCATATCTAGGTCAACTTTCTTCAGTAGCATAGATCTGCCCCTAGTATATCCCTTTCCAGCTGGGGATGGTGGGAAGAGAGCTGCCCCAGCCAGAACTGGCTGGAGGCCCGGACAGGGATGGAACAGAGGAATCATCATCAGCGGCTCTTGCCCTCTCCTGATGCAAATTTTGGTTCTAGTGACTCATCTGATGCAGACTAACGCCATAGACTGAGAAATACTGCTCAAAAGGACCTTTTCTGTTAGCCCACTGAGTCTATGCAGCACTATGAAAAATGCTAACAGAAGCAATGCTGAGTTCATACAATGGTTTAGAACAGTAGTGTTTGCCTGCTTTTATTCTAGCAGTCTTTGGAAATCTAGATCTCTGCCACCAACACCTAATTTAGCTTTAATTATTAAGATTCTGGAACTGTCTGATGTTACAGGGAACTCAGTCTAGTCTGGATGGTGAAATCAGGTCTCTCTCAAAAGAGAGGCCACTTTGTTTGGGGGGGCAGGCGGACAGAATAGAGAAGCACTCAGAGGGAGGGGGGGCAGCTGCTAGGAAAACAGCGGGAATAGTAAACTAAGAGATGCCTAACTGTGTAGCTACTGGCAGTCCTTCCTAAAGGGGAAAGGAAAGGCTCTTTCAACCTTCCAACAATACCTCTGTTCTTGGTATGGAGAGGGAGAAGTTGCGCTCTCGCTGGGAGAAGCTGAAATGGCAAGTTAACTCCGTGTCTAAGAATTCTTGTACTCTGGCCTGTGTTGTAGAAAAGTGGGTGGGTGGTGTCTGTATGTGTTTTTAATGATAAAGATTTTTTTTTTGACCAAAACTATGCCCACTTGTGATTATGGTACCAAGTGATCTGAAGTAAGACCTGTTAGATCTAGCCCACTGGTTGCCAAACTGTGGATCATGAGCCTGTTTTAATGGGGCTGCACACATCTTCTGGGTGTGGTTTACTGTCTCATGTAGTGGCACGTAGACCACTTAGAAAGCACAAGTGTGCTCTACAGCCTAAGCTGAAAGCCAGCTAGCTTTTTAGCTAAAGTGGTAGAGGCTCATGTATTCAGCTCCTGAGGTCCCAAGTCCCTTTCAGTGTTACATTTAGACTTGCAGGGGCCTGGGACTGAAGCGAAAGACCAGTCCCATTCCCCAGAGCCTAAGTATGAGCACCTCAGTGGGGCTCGGCCTTCGCTTCCAGTCTGGGGAGTGTAAGGCTTTGGTGCCTCTCTTCTGAGGTCATGCAATAGTTTTGGTGGTTAGAAGGGGTCATGGTGCAATGAAGTTGGAGGATCCCTAAGCTAGCCCATCTCCTAGCTTGTGCAAGATGATTCCTTAAAGCACATTACTTCGTCTAGACACTTTTAAATGTCCCATGAGATGTTTCCGTCACTTCCTCCAGGAGATGTACTAATAAAGCTCAATGTCTCTTGAACAAATACATGGGCATTAAAGAAATTAACTTGACTTAAGTCATGATCCTCTGTGTACAGCCCTAAAAATTGAAACACTTGTAATAGTTCTCCCCCACCCAAATCCTCTTAAATCGTTATTTCACCAGAGTACTTCCATCTTGAATAATTATTCATCTTCTGATCACAGAAATATAAAGGGTCTAATCCATAGTGGTGGCTGTTTGTGTTTGTCTGTCTTTTAGTATAATAAGGAAATCAAAGTCATCAGTATAGCAGTTGCACAGTGTTCTAATGTCACCAGCAAAAGGAAACTTGATTTACCAATCAGAACTGGAGAACAACTGGATGTTATTGATATTACAGAAGAGAATCAAGTAATATGTCGCAATTCTGAGGGCAAATGTAAGTTTGCAAGGGTTGCTTAACCACACATGGGATTGTATTTTAATCAACTTTGGGACATTGCTGCAGGCAGCTTGAGGCTAGCACTGCAAGCAAATATACAAAGGGGCAGATTAATAATTTGCATATTTTTTTCCTCCTTAGATGGTTATGTGCTATTGGAGCATTTGAATTTCAGGTAAATCTGGATTTGTTTTTGCAGTTACTATATTCGGAAACTCTTGGGCTATGTCTACACTGCTCTCTCTTGGGCAAAAAAATATGCAAATGAGGCAAAGCGTGGAATATCACCGCACCTCACTTGCATAATTAATGTGGTCCTGTTTTTGTGCAAGAGGCTTTTGCGCAAAAACGAAGCCTCATTAATTATGCAAATGAGGCACGGCAATATTCCATGTTTCACCTCATCTGCATATATTTTGCGCAAGAGAGCAGTGTAGACGTAGCATTGCTGTATGGGTGTGCATCTAGAACTTCTATTGCAGATGGGAAAGATATGTTTAATTTGAGATCAAACTAATGAAATATCTCAGATATATCCCTATCTTGTAGTACTAAATGGTACTAGCAGTTGTAACTTTAAGCAATCACTTTAAAGCTGTATTGACACTAGTCAGACTGTAGCTAAAAATATACTGTGCCAGCGTCTTAAACTGACATAAATTGATGTAGTGCCACTGAAGTCACTGGCACTATGACAGTTTACGCCTTTTGACAGAGTGGTTGATTTTTATATACATTCAGCTTAGTATTAATAGTTTAAAAGCGCCAGATGGAAATAAGTATATAAACAAATATTGCAACAGAAAATTCTATGCCTATTTTGGCAAGATGCCTGTTACAGTAAAACTTTTTTTTTTTTTTTTTGTGTGAAACAGACATTAATGCTGGTCACCTGATGACGGCCAGTCTCTTCCTATGGAGTCTTGTGAAGAACTTGCTTGAAGCTTTCCAAAGATGGCGTGTCCATACATGCCAACTGCAGAGAGCTGATATGAATGTAAATTAAAAGTATGGGTTTTATCCATTTAAATTAATCTATTTATCTTTAAAAAGATTATTACACACACAAGGTGTGTTTTGTTAACTAGTGCACACTGTTTAGTGAATCATCCCTCTGTGTACTACTTCTACTGCTGCATATTTTGTACAAGGTCTGTCTAGGTAGACATTCAATTAGCTTACCTGTTCAGTTCCTATATTTGTATGTAACTTGGATGGGCAGGGTAGGATTATGAATTATTAAGAATAATTTACAGTGCATAATGATTCTTGTTGTTTGAAGTCTGCCTTGTTGTTGTCACTTTCTGTACAGTGTTGGAAATGTAATGTTCCCAAAGGAACTTTTGATGCACTTCTACGCAAATTATGGATTCTTACGATTACACTATGTTTCTGGATTTCAGCCAGTTATTGGTTTGTGAAATATTTGGTACTGTTGTTGCTGGGTTAAAAGTCATATTGGTAGTAGAGAAGTTATTTGTATTTTAAAAAAGTTTGTAAATAAACACTGATGCAGAATTCATTGTATTATATTGATTCTTGACTTTAGGAAGCTAAATTACTAAGCCTACCTGAGGCCATTTCTGCCTTTGAAATATGCAGATACCTAACTTCCATAGAGTTCCAATGAGATAGAGGTGCTTCTGTCACTTGTGCATTTACCATCTGGCCCAATAATAGGTGGTCACTGTTACCCATTTTTAAAACCTGTTCCTAAACTGAAGATGGAATACATGAACTGGTAAAGGTTTGGTTTTGATCTACCAGGTAGTTACTGGTCCTAAAATGAATAGCTGTGGAATCTGATACACTTCTATTCTAAAGTACCATGAGGAAATACTACTAAAAGAAAGAACCTGATGACTCTTAACTCCATGTCCTACATATATTAATATTTTTTCAAGATTCTGCAGCATGAAAAACCTTTATCTGAGATTAGAATTTGTTCTTTCATACACTGTAAGCTGAGTAGTCCTAAAATTGTAAGATGGCGGTTTTATTCAGAAATAGTTGCTTTTCATGCTTAAGTGAACACGCTTCAACAAAAATGCTGTTCACTCCACAGTTATTTCAATCTTGGCATGGTAAACTTCAAGAAAACTGAGCAAATATTTAGCATTTACTTAGAAGTAGATATACAGGGATTTTTATTATTATTTTAACACGTGGTTTCCATTAAGGGTGCTGGCCTGCATCCATACTTACAAAAAATTTGAGCATGCACTGCTTTGCAAGGTTGCCAGCACAAATATTTAGACTTCTCAAAATCTAGATGGACTACTTGTGATGCTCAAGTGTTCATCTGGTTTCAGAACAGATTGGAATTTGTATTATGTCCTTCATCCACAGCCTTTTCAATGTAAGTATATTTAACTAAGTTGCTATGGCAACTTGCATTTTACTTTTTTACATAGAAATCATAGATTTGATTCTGATTTGAGCTTTAACAATACAAAAACATCTGACTGAAATATTACAAAGGTACACGCTTGGCCTGAAACACTTTTTTCTTACTGATTTCTATCAAATGAATTACTTGTAATATTGTTGATTTGCTAATAATCAAGATATATTTTAAAATGAAATTAACAAAAACAGTTTTTGGAGTATAGTGTGAAGGTTGTGACAGACTGCTGACTAAGCCAGAGTGCTCCCACTACACGCTGGCTGAAAAGGCCATTGAAGACAGCTGAGCAAGCCCAGGCCTGAAGGGCTAATGGAAGCAGCTGTGGGCCTCATTAGCCAGCTGGTTATATAAGGTAGCCAGTGAGGAAGTGCAAAAGGGAGGAGAGCAATGGGTTCAAGTCCTACCCACCCTGGGAGTGGCCGAGTGTGCTCCCAAGCCAGGAGGAGAAGCTGTCTGAGTTTGCTGTGATCCAAAACACTGTAACTAGAAGGTGGTGGGAAACTGACAATGAAAGACACAGGTGACTGCACCAGAAAGGGTCTTGAGCTGATTTGTGGACAAAGAAGGTATCCCAGAGTAACGGCCTGTGAGGACCTTGCCGCAAGGTACACTTATAAAATTATTTATTGGGGCAGATCCTGAACTTGAATCAATGGAACTATGACAGTTTGCACTAGCAAAGGATTTGGTGCAGTGACTTGTAACTCTGTGAATCCATTCCTCTTCAACTTGTACTTTTTTCAACCCATGAGGACTGGGCCCTACATTACCATATGCCGCTATTGGAGCTGTCCCTTCAAGGCAATTAAAGAAAAATGGATTCATGCTGGTGTTGGCTGCAGTAAATGTCTCTCTCTGAAAGAGAATTGGTAACTTGTTGAAACAATCTTTACAAGGCAGCAGTTTGCAGACAGATTCCAACATGCTGCTCTGGCACATTGTTGAGTACATATATAGCAATTGATACGGCATACTAATTTGTACTCAACGAATTAGAAAAATTTTAATGCACACGGTTAGCTGCGCTCATAGCTGTGTTGCACATAGGAAACTATTTTAGAGATGGCACCCTTTGTAGTTTTGTTTGACTGTACATAGTGAAAATGGATGAAGACTTAAAATAAAATCTGTGTAAATTTAAACTCTGGGCTATGACCCAGTTTCTTAAAATAATCATGATGATATGCCAACCATTTATTTGGTGCTGAAAGATTACCTTAATTTCTCAGTTGCCACTTTTGTGGCCATAGAAACACCACATAAGGAAGTCACACAACTAATAGGGAATCAAAGTGCATGCTGCAAACTACATGAATCCACTAGATCACCCATTCCATCTGTAAAGCCAATGGATGCTGGTTGTCGGCAGGTGGACAAGGCTTAGGGGCCTTTAGTGCATGAGCTAAAAGCCAACTGTTCTCTGCTAAGGCTGTAGAGCTGACTTCACTCTCCCTTGTCAATGGTTTCTGTGCTTCACATGCACTGTAGTATAGCCTGCAGCCAGATCGCAATCTTTCCAGACCAGCTTTTATACTATTCCCCTTCAATCAAGAGATGTGCCCCCTCCAGCTTTTTTGCACAGGGAGGCAAAGTGTGATTCCGTGTGTGGTATTAGTAACAGCTGTATCACATTGATTTCATTTATCCTGTTAAGGTGTTTGGCCATTTAATTTTATGGTACGCAGTGAAACTTGGAGGCCTAAAATATCCAAACATTAGATAAATCAAAACTACTGAGACAAAGTGACAGCCTGGCCCCTTGAAGTCAATGGCAAAATGATCATGAAATATAGATCCATACGGGGAAGTTCATTTTCCTTCTGATATGGAATGTGAGAGCCACCTCAATTTTTCTCAGTTGTCTCTTGATATTTGCCCACAACAATTTGGGGAAAATGGCTAGCCATGATTCCAACAGCACTGAGGGTCTATCTTATATTTAAACATTTGCTGCTATCATTTATTTTCTTCTGAGTTTATTAAAGTGCAAAGGCCAACCATGGAGACAGCATCACATGCAGTGCAGCATACAAAGAGTTTCCACACCATACATGGAAGGTAAAAGGCATTTTTGTGATTATCTAAGACACAATTACATGCACAAAGAACAAAACTGAAACTAGGATCAGTGCCCTTCCATAATAATTATCCCAAAAAAATTTGATCATGAGTTATAAACAATTTTTTTAATCCTTTCCTTTCCTGGCTTTTCTGTTAATGAAATTTGAAAAGCCAAGAAAAACTAAACTCACTAGAGAAATTTGTCTCCTGAACTCCATACTTGATTTTTTTTTTAAATCTTTATATGTAGGCCTCTTGACATTAGCAGCTAAAATATTTTAATGCGAAAATAATAAAATACCCATTTTCTTAAAAATAAAATATTAACAGGTCTTAAACCTATGAAATTACTTAGAACTTAGGGCATTGGTCTAAACATAACAGCACTAGAGCTGTCATGTCATTTTCAGTTTTGCTTTGTACTCTAAAGAGGGAAAAAGCCATAAGTTATACAAGTATAACATGATATGAAACACACAAACGGGTTTCCAGTAACAAGAATAAATATTACCACTTTTCAGTGTCTACTTCACAGCTCTGAGAGAATTCTCCTCTGCCCCCCCACACTTTAAAAGATCAGAAAAACATACAGATGAGCATGAACAATCTTATGTTACAAAGATAAGTTAAGGCAGCTTCAGCAGAAGCCTCAAGACTTTTCTTGAGATTAGAATACTTCTTGATTGTATAGGAAAAGAGAATTCAAGTTTACCGTTTGGATCTTTGATGTGCTGACCAGTTCTTTTGATTCTTAACAATGGCAAAGGTGTGCACATTTAATATCAGTATTAAAGTTTTGTACTAAGTCATATTCAGTCACAAATATACACACACGAGGTGGGATTTTTTTTTTTAAGATGCTCAGTTACAAATCTGACCCCAATCTCCATGAAGACTTGAAAGCATGATTTTGTGTGGGTGAGGGAAGGGGAGGGAGAGGGGGGCGGGTAGTGGGTATGTTTTACTCACCAATACATGTTAAATCTGTGTAAAAGACAAACTGGAAGATAAAATTGAGAGAACCTATAAAATAATTATCCAAACATTTGCTGGGGAAGAACCAGATGCATACTAAAGGGAAGCATTAAATAAGCAAAAGCAAGTATCAGAAATAATTATTTCCCTTCTTCCTGCAATATTAGTATGTTTCTTCTAAATTACAACTTTTTGAAGGACTACATTTTAATCTAAGAGTGGGGGGAGGGGTAAAAATTAACCCATCTTGTTATAATGATCCTGCCTTCAATTTTGAATCCAGAAAAGGTCTGGAGTGTTCTGACATCCTGCTAAATGTATCATTTGCAAAACAGCTATTCACTGCTTGAAAATTGCACTTGGAGTAATTCAAGTCTGTATAATTAAATATATATCTACCCTGCTTGCCCAAATGATCATAAATGCAGAAGTATAACCAAAAACTTGGCAATCTGAAATATCTGAGGACAGCAGCTTCATGATCATTTAGCCACCAGGTGCACGGTCCTACATGAGTAGTAATAATTAATACCATTTGTCAAAGGATTCTGAAATATACAGCTGAGCTGGGTTAGTCTGTTGAATGGATCATTTAATATTCTGCATTAATAGAAATGCTACTATTTCAATCCTTCTCCAGAGGCAGCATTGTCTAGTAAATTAAATATAAGAACTGACAGTCAGAAATACCTGAGGACTAATCTGGTTGCTGCCAATGTGTTCTATTGATTTAGTAGAAAAGTTGCTTAGCCTCTTTTGTGAGCAGTTTCTTCACCTGTAAAACTGAGATACTCTATTACTACCTACTTTGCAGGTACGGTTGTGAGGCTTCGTTCATTAGTTAATGTTTGCACAACATCTTAACGATGTACAGTCCTGTGGTAATTCTGACACTACTGCCTCGACATTCCCCTTGTCCTGAGCCTGTAGGAAGGGCATACATCCCAGTAAAGGAACTGTGTTTAAAGGAAATTTCTCTACTGCATAGGAAATCCCATATAGAGGCAATTTTAAGGCAATAGCACTTTAAACTTTCAATGTGATTTACAAGATTACATCTTAATCTTAAACCCTTTCATCCTTCATTGCTAATGGCTTTTGCTCACCTCCCGGGCACAGGGTAGGTGACGTGATGGAACGTTACTCTGCTGTCAGCATGGGGTATGGCTAAGCGTCTGTCTGTCTCCATTTCAAACACACTGAAAAAGAGGGAAGTGGGGACTCGTACAATGAAAAGTACATTTATTACGTTATCTCCCATAGAAAATCCTACATTAAGCTGTAGCCCAGAGGAAATGGATGGTTGGGTGTTGAGGAAGATTTTTTTTTAACCCTACTATGTTATTGCCATAAAATACAAATTTCTCCAGAAGGAAATTCAGGCTTGCCTCATCACCCCTCTCTAATGCTTTTATTCTATCTGACTCCTGCCCTCTGGCACTGGGGAGCCCATGCTAGTGCTCCAGCCCTTCCCCCATGCCTCCTTACAGGGCTGGAGCACACAATCTACTAACTAGGCTGGGGCCTCAGGACTTTGTGTGTGAGGGGAAGTGTCTTTCTCCTTCTCAGTCGGAGGCCATGTCAGTGAGGGTTTTTTTTGTTGTTTTTTGCTTCTCACTTGTGTGCGCCCCCCCCCCCCAGTGATTTTTCTGTGGGTCAGTGGTCCCCAACCCAAAAAAGGTTCCCCACCCCTGCTCTAGTGGTGCTAATGTAGGATGTGGGTGTGCAGAGTTCAGTTCCCTGGTCTCCAACACACTTTGGGTGGCCTGGAGGAGGGATAATTAACACTTCCCTACCTTGCAATAAAGTACAACCAGATTGTGCACCACAGACTTCAATGCTGTGGTAATGGAGGCCATGTTGTTATGACTTAGATACTAATGAGCCGTTGGTCTCTTTGATGCCCTCTGTCTACAACAACCAAACTACTGCCAGCCTTCAACAGTCTACCACTGGACTCTTCTACCTCAAACCTGAAAGCGTGCTCTGCTCAAAGCCTGTTGGCCATATCCAGTGTATTAAGCCATTTCCTCTGTACCCAGTTTTTTCCTGCCCTAAAGGTGTCTCAACAAATTTGGAAGAGAAAATATGCAGGTCATGTATGTCTTTCTCCAGGCATGAGCCAGGGTCTGCAGGAGCCTGAGGTACATTATCAGTGTTGCTTTTTTTTTATAACAGAAGAAGAAGGTTCTGTTACTTTTGTGTTTTAAAATGCTAGGTAGGTGATCTGTAGGCAAAACTGGAATCCTATTACTAAAGTGACATGAACTTACAGGGACCATCTGGAAATCAAATTTGGCCTCACATTTTTAGAAGTGGGTGGCAAGATTCTCCACTGACTTGTGTAATTACTGAAAGACTTGTAAAGTTGTATACATACCAGGCACAGGTTCAAACCCATGGTGATTCACCCACTCTGCCCATTATTTAATTTTTCAAAAATTGTACTTTTCAAAGAAACACGGGGAATGTGTGCCATGTGCTTAGGTTATGTAACAAACAGTCATTCACCTGGAGGGCTTGTCATTCAGATACTGCAGCACTGGGCTAGCTATAATTTAACAGTAAAATTGATTGATTTTGAAACTGACTACCTTGCTCTCTTTGTCTAACCTGAAAAACAGGCAAAGAGGAAACACGGGGCACAGATAGTAGAAAAAGCTTCAGTTGCCAAGTTGCACTCATGTAAATCTAAGGTGTGGTCCGCAACAAAAGGCAATTTTAAAAAAAAATTAGACCCTTGAAGTTGAAAGTGTCTCACTAACTTCCAGTAGGTATCAAGTGTGGCAGGGCATTGCCCTGCACTGGCCCTTTAAGGGGCTGAGACCTGGAGTCAGCAGGAGGCCCAGCTGAGGCAGCTAACAAGGGCCCAGCTGGAGGCCATATAGAGCAGCTCCTGGGAGGAGGGGAGACACCTGCCTATCTGCCTGCAATGAGAGAGGTTTTGGCCTAGCAAACCCAAGCTACCCAGCCTGAGGCCCAGGGCTGTAAGGAGGCAGTCATGCAGGGTGGGGCTCACGTGGAGGCAGCCCTAAAAGGCCGGGCTGCAAGGAGGCAGTTGCGGTAGGCTGGGGAAGTTTGACCCGGGGAAGCCCCAGGCCATAAGTCCATAAGGCAGGGTTGCAGGAGGCAACTGGGCAGGCAGAGTGGGAGAAGAACTGGGGGTTCTAGGGTGTAGGGAGGACCCTGGAGGAGGAGCAGAGGAAGAACAATGACCCCCCCCTCCCCGGAAGGGGGCACGGACCAAGACTGGAGTGGTCACTGAAGACAACACCACACCCAAAGGGGGTATGTTGGAGTAGCCAGCTACTTCCCCAAAGCCACCCTGAGAGAAGGAGTGGTCACTGCCGGAGGGCAGTGCTCTGAAGAGTAACATCTCACCCAAAGGGGGCAGGTTGGCATCTTGACTTGATTGGTTTTACCCTGGTCTTTTATAGTCAGGTGATGGGAATTAAACACCACAGCAACAGAAGACAAATGCCAGTGCTACCCATTAGGTTAAGCCCAAGTAATTAAAAAAACAACAACATTTTTTGGTAAAAGTCCATACAGTAGAGTTTATCCCTTGTAGTATTTTTTTAACCTGACAAGTCCTTCTCTTTATTTTAACAGAAGCTTATCCTTCGTTAGCCAACAGTAAAGAAATAAAAATATAAGACAGTCCTGCCTTATCGGTATAGCAGTGAAGGTCACAGTCTATTAAGCATTAGAAGTACACAAAAGCCCTGAAGCCTGGAACACCACTTTCAAACTTAGCTGCTACCTGTCATGAAACAGTACAAGAGACAGACTCTCTATGCTCTAGGACGGGCAAGGTACATTTGGCAGCTGACTTGGGGAAGAATCAAGGGTAAGTAAAAGGGCCTGCTCTGAGAGATATCACTTGAAGTTTACAGCCTATTGAACCTCAAAGGCGCCTGTGCATTTCACAAAGGAAAACTGCCACTCCCACCTAAGCGAGTCAGCCCTGGGTCACTTTTATCCTTGTGTGACAAACATGGTGCTATCAAGCTCACATCCCAGGTTTGATCTCCTGTGTTGAATGGGGATGCAGAGAGGCAGTTCTGCTAGCTTCTCAACATCCCCTGGCCAATAGGAGCCAGGTATGTTGTAGGGGAAGGTGAATCCACAGATAGAGATTTGCTAGCAGTGAGGTGAATGAAATGGTGGGTGGGTATTAGCATAGAAGTAGGAAATGAAGTCTGAAAAGGGAATTAATGGGGGAGGGGAGTATGGGCTGTAAGACGACTGAGATGGGGTTAGTCAGCAAATAGAGTGAGGAACAGATTGGAGAAGTTGTCTGCTTCCTTAAAAACTATAGCTCTCACTATCTCCAGTAATACCACCCAGTCTGTGTCAGCACCTCAACAATCCTTCTCGTGCTCTCTCTCTCTCTCCTAGATTTCCTTTCCACTCTGTTCCTATCATGCCCCCTATCTGGCTCTCTAAAGGCTCTTGCTGCCTCTCTCGCATACCCGCTTTTGCTCAAGAGGGATGAGCCCCTGAAGGAGAGATCAGTGACTATTTCTCATCCCTTGGAAGCGGTCGCATAGGCATCAGCTGCTATGAACTTCAGACATTTTTTTCTCTCAGATAGGAAATCTCTGCTACTTACGGGACAGCTATTTGAAATATTCTGTAAGCGGCAAGGCTTGTAGTAATTTACAGCAGCTCTGACATGACTGAAAGCAGGTTCTGAGCGTACAATGGCCAATGCGGTCAGTGGATGGGGGGGAAAAATGCCAAGTTATTCTTGATGATTAAAAGGAGGCTAGGACCATTCTGTAGATCCAAAGCAGCTGAGTAGAAGGGGCAGGGGAAGCTGGGGAGATTGCACTCTTGAATTCAAAGCCTTAGGCTGTGTCTAGACTGGCCAGCTTTTCCAGAAAATCAGCCGCTTTTCCGGAAAAACTTGCCAGCTGTCTACACTGGCCGCTTGAATTTCCGCAAAAGCACTGACTTCCTACTGTAAGAAATCAGTGCTTCTTGTGGAAATACTATTCTGCTCCTGTTCAGGCAAAAGTCCCTTTTGCGCAAAGCTTTTGAGCAAAAGGGCCAATGTAGACAGCTCAAAGCTCCGATCGCGAAAATGGCGATTGGGGCTTTTTTGCAGAAAAGCGCATCTAGATTGGCCATGGACGCTTTTTCGCAAAAAGTGCTTTTGCGGAAAAGCCTCCATACCAATCTAGATGCTCTGTTCCGAAAATGCTTTTAACGGAAAACTTTTCCGTTAAAAGCATTTCTGGAAAATCATGCCAATCTAGACACAGCCTTAATGTGTGACCCTCTCAGAGGGAAGTGTGTTGCACCTCTTCTGTGTGCTCTTGTATTTCCAATAAGTTGCACGTTCCAAATCACAGAACCTTCCACATGGCTGCTGGTTTTTATGCCAGAGCTGCTGTTAGAGGCCTATTGGCATCAGTTTGTAAATACTGCAGCAGTTTTATTACAGCTGGATTTTGTTTAATATTGTTACTTGTCTATACCTCTGATCTACTTCACCTGAGCCCCCTTGAATAGCACAGGGTATACAATAGAAATGTCACTGGACAGCACCTATACTATTGATTATTGAGGCTCAGCCAAGTTTCCATAAAGCATGCACAGAAAGGTTGTTTACTGGTAAGCTTAATGAGGAAGTTACTGTTTTAAAACCGTGCCCAGTTTTTCCCAGTCATCTGTGTTTGTAAAAGCAGTTTTGTTTGTACTATGGTGAAACTAGAAAAAATAAATGAGACAAACCTCTTTCTAGTTTCCTCAATGCTTTGTAATGGGACCTGGATCCTCAGAAGGGAGTATTTGGGTTCTGAGGGGGTGTTTGCACTACAGCGTACACTATGCCCAGGGTGTGACCAAACAAACAAAAAAAGAAACCACCTAGGACCAGAGTCTCACAGTGCAACCACACATGCCTCAGTCCTGATCATCAGCGAGCTAATGCCATGATCAGACTGGCACACATTTCAAAAAAGTCCATGGTGTGGCTACCCAGGCGTGGAGTAACGGAGGCCACGCTCCCAGGCAAGGAGCCTGTCAGAGATCCAGTAAGCGACTGGCATTCAGCGGCGGCAGAATCAATACTCAGGCGTGGTCTGTGCAAGCCAGCCGCAGAGCATGAGCGCTGTGGGGTGGACGAGCCTGACCTCTGCTCCATGGCATCATCTTAAATGCACAAACAAACAGCATTATTTCAAATCTTTTCAGCTGCGTCCCGGGCAAGGCCTGGCTAAGAAGGGAATGCTTCCATCAACAGTGAATGCATGCTAGGAATGAAATTCTGGCTCCACTGAAATCAGTGACACGGCTCCTATTAACTTCATAGAATAGAATCCTAAAACTGGAAGGGGTTTCGAGAGGTCATTAAGTCCCGTCTCCTGCACTCATGGCAGGACCACGCATCTAGGGATGACCATGCATTCTAGATCATCCCTGACAGATATCTGTTTATCCTGCTCTTAAATATCTCCAGTGGTGGAGATTCCACAACCTCCTTAGGCAATTTATTCCAGTGCTTAATACCCCTGATATGAATTTTTCCTAATGTCCTACCAAAGCCTCCCTTGCTACAATATAAGCCACATGCTTCTTGTCCTAGCATCAGAGGTTAAGGAGAATAATTTTTCTCCCTCTTCCTTGTAACACCCTTTTAGATACTTGAAAGGTGCTATCATGTCCCCTGTGAGTCTTCTCTTTTCTAGACTTGACAAACCCAATTCTTTCAATCTTCCCTTACAGGTCAGCTGTGTCTAGACTGGCCAGTTTTTCTGGAAAATCAGTCGCTTTTCTGGAAAAACTTGCCAGCTGTCTACACTGGCTGCTTGAATTTCCGCAAAAGCACTGACTTCCTACTGTAAGAAATCAGTGCTTTTTGCGGAAATACTATGCTGCTCCCGTTCGGGCAAAAGTCCCTTTTGCACAAAACTTTTGTGCAAAAGGGCCAGTGTACACAGCTGAGATTTGTTTTCCGCAAAAAAGCCCCAATAGCAAAAATGGCGATCGGGGCTTTTTTACGGAAAAGTGCGTCTAGATTGGCCACGGACGCTTTTCCGCAAAAAGTGCTTTTGCGGAAAGGCATCCGTGCCAATCTAGACGCTCTGTTCCGAAAATGCTTTGAACAGAAAACTTTTCTGATAAAAGCATTTCCGGAAAATCATGCCAGTCTAGACGTAGCCCCCATGTTTTCTAGACTTTTAATCGTATTTTTGTTGCTCTTCTCTGGGCCATCTCCAATTTCTCCACATCCTTCCTGATATGTGGTGCCCAGAACTGGACACAATACTCCAGTTGAAGCCTAAACAGCACAGAGTAGAGTGGAAGAATTACTTCTCCTGTCTTGCTTACAACATATCCCAAAAATACATCCCTAGAATGGTGTTTCGCTTTTTTTTAAAAAAAATGGTGTTACACGGTAGACTCATATTTAACATATTTAACTCAGCTATGACCTCTAGATCCCTTTCTGCAGTACTCCTTCCTAGAGAGTCACTTCCCATTCAGTGGGGCCAGTATTTCACCCTGACGTGTGTACCAATTAAAGTGTATATTACATTAGTAGAGGGAAAAGGAAATCTGTATATTAAAACTCACTGTGTATACCTGCTTGGGAGATTCTATACAGTAAGAATACATCTGTGCGCTGGTATCTAGCTACTTCTACACACTTGCTATGTTTGATCATTTCAGATCAAAAGGAGTTTGCAGCGGATGAGGAAAAAGTATGTTGTGCAGTGACAAATGTGAGGCTCATTGGAATTGATTTTCCCCTTTCGCTAGTATAAAGAACTATTAAACTGTCACAGTAGCGCTAGTGGAGATGAATGGGCCAGAGTTACTCAAGTTGACTAGAAATACTAGAAGATACCACAGGAGAATCTGAAAATATTAAAAGGAGGAGTGAACAAACCCTTAAAATACCCCATTGCACGCGATTCATGCCACAACTTCCTGCTTACCATCAATGCTTTTAAAGTCCAAAAGATAGCTGCGATTGTCAACCTGGTAAAGCTGTAAACTCATTTTCACATAATTCCCAGTCACTGGATTCCTTCGACGCACTCTAAGATGATAGGCATTCACCACCTAAAACAGGTAACCTTCTTTCAGGAATAAAATTCAAGATGGTAGAAAGAATATTTTTCTTTTCCCCCTAGTGTGAAACATTTCAGGACAAAAACATTGTCCGAAAAGAACGATTGTTTTAACATAAATAAATAAATATCCCAGTTTCTTCTAAAGTGTGTTTGGGGTTTTTTTTTTGGTATGTTAAGTGCTTATCAGTTTTGTTGTGTATACCTCTCTTGCCATCCTGCTACCCCCACAAGTATGACTCACAATAGAATGTGTTTCATATGTGTACTGTTTATAATGGATTTGCACAGGTGGAGGCTTATTGCGATGTGAATCATGGCTGTGAAGTTGGTCTTACATGCAGACAACTATTTCTCAAGCCTCACACACGGTCTAGAGAACCATTCAACTAACTTCATCCTGGATGAAATTCCACTTCAGTTTGTAGAGCTGCACCAGGAATAAATTTGGCTCATTAGTTGTCTGTCTGGCTGTGTATCTAACCAAGCTACTAGCTGTTGTAAACCCCAATATTTTTATTTAGACTGTGAGCCCTGTGGAGGAGGACTGTGTCATATGTTGGAACAGTGCCTTGTGCAATAGGGACTTAGCCTCTAGAAAAAGACAGCAAACGAAGTTACCTAACAGAGAAGAATATTTTTGTAGGAGAAGAGCAACACATTCAGATTTTCTTCAGAGAGCAAATGTCAGTTGAATGAAATGGTAACAATATATTTCTGCTCCATTGTTATCAAACACCCTTATTCTGCCCTCTGCCCACCAAAATAGGGCCTGGGTTAAAACATGAATACAGGCGTCAGTGTTAGAAAACAGGCCAAGGTCTAGAAGACCTTGTTTAACTCCTTTAGCGAACCACTAAAACTGGGAATTGCCACAGTCTGTAAAGCAGCTTTCAGACACTTCCTGAACTTTCCATAATGGTGGAATTCAGTTACTGCCCACAGGGCTTGAGCTGAGACATTTCTCCCACTCCTTACACTGAGATGTCCATCAATTAATTAAATGTTGGAAACGTTAACATGTTATTATGGCTGATGTCTTAAATGCAGGCATTTCAAAATTAGCATCTGCAGCAATGGTAATGTTCACTCACGTTACAGGCCGTCCTCGCTATAAGTACAAGATAAACTTAAAGGCTGTGTCTAGACTGCATCCCTTTTCTGTAAAAGGGATGCAAATTAGACACATTGCAATTGCAAATGAAGCGGGGATTTAAATCCCCCCCCCACTTCATTTGCATAAACATGGCTGCCGCTTTTTTCCGGCTCAGAGCTGTGCCGGGAAAAAGCGCCAGTCTAGATGTGGATCTTTCAGAAGATAAAGCCTTTTCTGAAAGATCCCTTATTCCTCTTAAAATAAAGCCTTTTCTGAAAGATTCCTTATTCCTTATTTTAAGAGGAATAAGGGATCTTTTGGAAAAGGCTTTATTTTCCGAAAGATCCGCATCTAGACTGGCGCTTTTTTCCGGCAAAGCTCCCCTCTTCATTTGCAATTGCGATGTGTCTAATTTGCATCCCTTTTACGGAAAAGGGATGCAGTCTAGAAACAGCCAAAGTGGGGAATTTTTTTTTCCTGAGACTGACTTCCATTTGCATAAACTGGGGGGATTTTTTTGCGCAATTTAAGAGCAGGGACTGGGAGTACATATAAAGTATCAGTTCCTACAAGCGCCAACAACTTTAGTGCGGAACAGATGTATACCGGGGTGACTTATAGGAGGGACCATTAAGTAAACCATTCTAGAATGAACTACTGGAGATAAATATAGCTGTGTGGTATCAGCGTGTCAAGGGTTATGGGCCAGATTCTGCACTGCCTTCCATCTTGTGTTGCTATTTATCCCTGGGCAAAATGGTTGACTCCTTAGCTAGCCTCTTACAAATGGTCACATCTTACACAGGAAAGTGACTACACAAGGCTGTGGAGAATCAGGCATGGCAATTCTTAATGAGGGCTAAATCAATGGCAAGAATTAATCTGAGCACAAGAAAAAGTGAATCGCTGACTGCTGCAAAAATGCCTCTCCTGTCCCATAACCAATATCTCAGATAACCCAGCTAAAAGAATATTACCAAGCAGAGAAAAAAATCAAGCATGAGAAAGTTCAGTCCCACAGGTGCGTTGTCTGGGAAGTGTTGACTGAAAGCATGAACTAAATGTGGATGTGACTTCACCCCTAATAATCTTGCCAGCCTAGGCTGACAGTTTAAAAAAGAAAAAAGAAAGTGCATATTTTACATTGTTAAGACACGTGGAGTTTATTTAGCCACAACTAACATTTTTAATGTTGAGTGTTTGTAAAAGTAAAAAAATAATAAACTAGAGAGGATAATACAAGTGGTATTAGCTTAGAAACAGGCAATCCTGTAACAATACTTACTAACTGCACTGATCAATTCAGATCAGGATTTATAAGGAAATGATCCTTGAAAATGGCCACAAAGCCCTGATAGTTCCTACCTTCCATTCAAAATCCAGCTGTTTCATAGCCCGGTACACTTCAGCCATAATGTCATACGGTTTGCTTTGACTGCGGATTCCTAGATGCCACTTGGCTTTTTTCACAGTCAGAGGTTTTGGCTTGGTAGTGTTCAGTGCATCCAAGGGACACCGTGCTTTGGGACTGTCTGCTATTAAAGGAGGCATCCGTTCTGGGTGTGGTTTCACCCCCGGAGGTATGTGCATAGTGCTGTCATCCATAAAGGAGCCAGTGGGGGGACTAGAGGCGAGGTAGAACTCACTGGCTTGGTTCATGATTCTCCGATTGTCAATAATAAGGTGGTACGCTACTGCAAGCTGGTCTTGTGGGTCACCGCTATACAAGCTGTTCATCACCTCCGACTCCGTGCATTCAAACTTCTCACAAACTTCCCGCACTGCCTCATCATCAGTGACATTGGCATCGTAGGAAGGATCCTCTGGAAACAAGTAACTAGGCAAGTCATGTTTAAACCACTCATGTTCTCTAGGGGGAAAAGAAATGAAACTATGACACGGGATGTTAAATATCAGTCAATTGAATTCTTACTGGTTACTTGATAATTCTATAGTTCCCGGGGGTGGGGCCAGTAGCCAGTGTGCTACTGGCCCCACCCCATTCCTAAGGAGCCCCTGCCACTCTGCGCTGCAGTCCAGGCGGATGAAGGGGCTGAGCTCCCAGACCCAGCACAAGCCAGAACTGAGCCAGGCTGCCTACCCACCTGACTCCTAATACACTTTAAATACAGAGCCGCAGCAGGGGTAGGTCCTGGACCTGGCATGAACCAGGTTGCTGGCCAGCCTGCTAAAAAATTTACTGGCGGGGGAGAGCGGGAAATGTGTGTACTCTACAGCATTAACTGATAAGCTTTTGCTTACTGGTTAACTGATTAATCGATTACACTATTCCATCCCTAACTGTGACGAGAGAATAGTGATAGAAATGTAGCCGTGTTAGTCTGGGGTAGTTGAAGCAAAATGCAGGACAATGTAGCACTTTAAAGACTAACAAGATGGTTTATTAGATGATGAGCTTTCGTGGGCCAGACCCACTTCCTCAGATCAAATAGTGGAAGAAAATAGTCACAACCATATATACCAAAGGAAACAATTTTAAAAAATGAACAAATATGAAAAGGACAAATCACATTGCAGAACAGAAGGGGGATGCGGGGGGGTGGGAAGGGGGAGGAAGGAAGGTAAGTGTCTGTGAATTGCTGATATTAAAGGTAGGGAGAGTGGGATGTTTGTGAGTTAATGGTATTACAGGTGATAATTGGGGAAACTGTCTTGGTAATGGGTGAGAAAGTTCAAAGTCTTGTTAAGTCCTTGTTGGCAAGTGTCGAATTTTAACATGAATGACAGTTCAGAGGATTCCCTTTCAAGTGCAGATGTAAAAGGTCTTTGTAGCAGAATGCAGGTGGCTAAGTCATTTAGAGAGTGTCCTTTCTGGTTAAAGTGGCAAGAAACTGTTTTCTCTTTGTGATCTTGTCTGATATCTGTTTTGTGGGCATTAATCCTTTGGCGAAGTGTCTGAGATGTTTGTCCAATGTACATAGCAGACGGACACTTTCGGCACATGATAGCATAGATTATATTTCTGGATGCGCAGGAATATGTGTTCTTGATCTTGTAACTCACTTGGTTAGGTCCAATAATGGTATCAGCAGAGAGAATATGTGGACAAAGCTGGCAATGGGGTTTGTTGCAAGGGAAGGTACCAGGGTTGGTATTAGTGTGGTATGTCCTGTGGTGGTTGGTAAGAATCATCTTGAGGTTAGGTGGTTGTCTATAGGAGACTATGGGTCTGTCTCCCAGAGCCTCTTTGAGTATGGTATCCTGTTCCAATATAGGCTGTAGTTTATTGATAATGTGTTGGACAGGTTTAAGTTGGGGGTTGTAGGTGATGACAAGGGGTGTTCTATTGTTGGTTTTCTTGGGTCTGTCTTGAAGTAGATGGTTTCTAGGTATTCGTCTGGCTCTTTCAATTTGCTTTTTTATTTCTCTGGGTGGGTAGTTGTGACGAGAGAGAGAGTGCAGCCATGAGTCTGTATTTACAGAAGGGCAACCTAGCTGTAATTCGTTCTATGAACAACAGCCTGGGATGTTGGGGAGGGTGAAGGAAGACCAAGGAGACAGATGCTAAGCTGGTGTAAACTGACAAAGCTTTGCTCTTTCAATGGTGCTACAATGATTGACAGTGCTTGACAATCAGGCCCATTATTTTTAGTCACGTCTGAGTCTTCAGGGAGGCAGTGGAACTCATTGAATATTATAGTAGCGGCCACACTAATATTGTGGCAAAGTGCTCACAGAAGGCTTGGATTCTGACAGCCTTGCAAACTGTTCCCTCTAAGTTGTGGGGCAGCACAGCTTCACGGGTGATTAATCAGCGCTGCCCAGTCAGCCTAAGTTGTGGGGCAGCACAGCTTAGAGGGATCACTGCCTGCAGGCTATTATTTATTTATCAACGCACACAAAGCAACAGTGTGTGCTTCCCTCAGACTAAGGCACCTTAGCCACACCAACCAGTGAGGTTTCCACACGGATTCAGTTTTGGTCTTTCTATTGTAACTTCCATAAGACTGTGAGCTGTGTGATATGACGCACCAACCAAAGCCATGGTCAGGGGTGCAGGCTGTCCACCCCACGCAAGGGTTATGGTGGCCAACTGGGCCAATCACCTCTCCAACCTAAATCTGAACAGGCTCAGCTAGACTAGGTGAGGCCTCTATAAGCAAGGAAGCTGGTGACAGGTGGGCGCTGCGAGCACTCCCTGGGAGAAGGGAAAGTATATTATAGCTACTGTGGAGTCATGATTACTCCCTGGGAGGAAGCTGGCAGAGAAGGTGGGAGGGGAAGCCAAGAAGGCAGGAGATGGCTCGGAGGAATAGTAGCAAGGAATAGGAATGCAAGCCATGGCTGCTGACTAGAGGACCCCTGAGCCAGAACCTGGAGCAGAGGGTGGGCCTGGCTCCCCCATCAGTTGCTGACCAATCTGCACCAGCAAAGCAGTGAGCAGGAATTCTACTGGAGCCCACCTGCCAGGAGGGACTTTGTGACCCAGCCCTCTAGTCAGGTCACCACCTGTTCACTTTTCCAGGGACATCAAAGAGGTAGTTGCGGTTCCAGGCATGAGAGGAGCCCGCTGGATGAGAGACTCAACGCTGGTAGATGGTGCAACTTCTGGTCCAATCTAATCCCCAGAGGGGCCAGGAGATGGTGCCACCAGTGATGAATGAACCCCCTGACACTGCATCAACGAACATCAATGACAAATCAGGCTGATGGTCAGTTGACAGACAAGCCACCCACCAAAAGGCACCTCTCCCGCTAGTTCCCTCACACTTTTGCCCATGCAGGCCAGCCCCCTAGTACAGGCAGGTTTTCATGAGCATGGTGGCCCCTACCTGTTCAAATGCTTATAAAGTCTTATGGAGGAGAGGAGGGTGTTCAGCATCCATCAATCATCCCTCTCCACAAGACAGTGGGCTGGGGAAACACACGTGCCATCTCTAGCTATCTCAGTAGGCACTAGGGGGGAATTCAGTCTTAGCAACAGTTGACAGTCAGTGTTTCTGTGCTCCTGCACGGGGGCGAGTGGCTGTTAAAATCTGCCTTTCATGCATGGACCGTGGTAGGTATTGGTGATATCATGTCCCTGTGCCCTGGATGTGGGGAAGGTGCCACAAAATTGCCCCACTAAGCCTCAGGGAGCAATAGAATGGCTGAATGCACCCAAAAGGTAAGAAAGATAATGTGTAGGATGGCAGTCCCTGGGGATGGTAGGACTGGAGCCTGCCGCCTTATCTGTTGGGCCACTGGAGGGGGGGGCAGCCTGCCTCCCCACCTTTTCTGGATGCTTTATCCTGCCCAACTTCACCCTGGGGCCAGTCTGAGCTGTGGCAGGCTGGTGGTGGGTGACTGGCAGCTCCTGGGATTTGAGTCCACCATTCCTGGTGGTAGGCACCTTATCCATTGGGCCACTGGAAGAGCTAGCCCACCACCCCATCTTCCCGGGATATTTTATCCTGCCCACTTTCTCACTTGCACTGGCTTCAGAGCCAGGGCCCTTGTAGGGTGGAAGGGGTTTCTCATGCAAACCCACACCCATAAGACTAAGTGTGCTTCAACAGCACCTGCACATGAACTAAATCCTTGATTATTCACCCAGCACTGCAACTATGATTCTATCTGTTAGCAGCTGGCTTGAGACCCAAACAGCCATCAGATGGGTAATGATTCTTGGTCATTACTGCACTGAAGTAGCTACTAAGTAGTCACCCTTTCGCCACATCCCATTACCAGCTGTGGTTCCTCATAGGCACACCTCCCCTAAGAGGCAATCAATCATATCCAAGAGCCTTGTGAATAAAGCCATAGTTTTCGCCTTACTTTAGGATGGAGGAGGCACTATAAAACCATCATTTCCAAATGAATTTAAACACCCAAGGACTTTTGGATGCCTCAGTGACATTTATATACCTATTTTAAACATCATTCAGCTGTAGTGATTATGTATTTCACAAAAGACCGAGCATGCTCCTCGTTTACACCATAGTAGTAAAATTATTCAGTTTCTAAAAATCTTTTAAGTCCTGTTGTCAGACCTGCATTTTTAATTATATTCACAGGCCCAAACAGCAACAAAAGAATCTCAATGCGCACATTAACCTGAAGTTATATGGTAATAGGAGCAGGTAGAGGTACAGCACCATCAATTAATTTGCTAAATGAGAAAATTATATTACACTTAAAGGTGAGCCATTTGCCTTCATTAAGGAACATTTTTCATCTTGTGTTAATTTTAAGAGTTAGGGGCTATGAATCCTAAATTCATGGTCTATGCATCTTTTCATGTTTGCTGTGATTCCGCATATTAAGCACACTGTAATGTGAACCTGATTTCAGAAGGAAGGAAGAAGCTTTTAAGTTAAGCAACAAAACAAAGCAGATGAATACTACTGTCTAAGCATTACTGCATCCTATGGTTACTTTTGCCAAGCACCATGAAGGCTACTAGAGCCCATTTCATAATGTGATATAAAAAAAAGGTCATGGTTACTTGCCACAAAGCACCTAGTAACCTTCATAAACGCTGGGAAAGTCGACTCTTTAAAAGCTATTGCAGTACCATTCTACCACTTCTGTGCGGACACTGTACAGTGTTAGGAGGGGTTTGCCTGTCACTGTAGTTAATCCACCGCCCTAATGGGCAGTAGGTAGGCCAACAGAAGAATTCTTCCATCACCATAGCTCTGTCTACACCAGAGTTTACATTCGCGTAGCTATTTCTCCCAGGGGTGTGGATTTTCACACCCAGAGAGAGGTAGAGTTGCCATTGTAAGTTTTCAGCGTAGACTAACCGTGAGTTCCACAGCACAGCTTGCCCACCTCACAAGATGGTATATCTGCAGGGCCCTGCTGTAGTGTCTGACATGTGATATTACCTTATGTCCTTGATGGTTGCTCGCTTGAGTGGGTCAACCTGCAGCATGTGCATAAGGAGAGTGGCGACTGAACGGTTGAGGTATTCAGGGATGTAGAAAACACCTCCCCGGATCTTCTTAAAGAGCGTGGGGACATGGTCATCATCAAATGGCAGCGTCCCGCAGAGAAGAGCATAGAGTATAACGCCACAACTCCAGATATCCACCTCAGGGCCAGCATACAACCTGAACAAAGTCAAGGTAAAAGAGAAGATTTCCTTGCTAGGTTTTATTTGTTTGCCAATTGGCATGATGTGCTTTGTAGTAGAGGTGGATAATATAGCAGAGGAGCATCCAAAGTGGACCCTGCAGGCTGAATGCTTCAGCTCATACTCCTACCCCATTGTGCTAAAACTTAGCATCTGTTGCTCATTCCAGCTGAGACATGGAAGTGCAACCCATGGAGGCTAATGAATCTAAAGTTCACTCTTACTCTCCAACAGGTCTGTGACAAGCTTGTCCAATTGTTGGTGGATTCTGACAACTATTTCTAAACATCCACCGAAGCAAATATTACACCTGTCTGTTTATTTTTAATGTAAGAACTATGCCTTCAAGTCCAATCCTGTTCTCAGGCTTGTAGGGAACTAATAATATGAGCTTGGTTATCACAAAGCTAGGGTGCCCTTGGATCACTGCTTATCAGGCTTTTCCAGTAAATTGTGAGCAGGCTCTTCTTTGGCCAAAATTTCAAAAGTTGTCAGCCTAAAGTTGGGCTCCTACAGCCATACTCAGGCACCTAAATAATTTGCTCTATTTTAAAAAATGCTCACCACCTGTCAGCTCTTATTGAGGCTAATGAGAGCAGCTGACTACGCAACATTTTTAGAAAAAAACTGGCCAATTATTTAGATGCTAAGGATACCTACCTTTAAAATCCTGTTTTTGACAGTCTTGAGAGCCCAGTATGCCTGCTCAATTCCCAGATTGCTAGGATGATCGCTAATGTGTATTTTAGACCCAATCGGGATATATCTGCTCTATTTTACAACGTGCGCTTTCATACTGTTACCCATCAGGTCATGGCAGAAGGTGAACTTTGACTCGGCTCCCACACTCTGCTCTCCTACATAAATCACTGTGCAAATAATACAACAGAACTAATAGACTGATGAATCTCCACACTAATGGAAAATACTATAATGATAACTTTTGACAGGCACTGTTCCTTTAAGAGCAGGGCCGTTTGGGAAATTGCCATGATATAAAATGAGAATCTGACCAGCAGTAAAGGAGTCCGAGGAGAGGTCTGATAAAGGGAAGGGAGTATAATCAGGGACTTAGTAGATGAACCTAGTTTAGACTAGTTATGTAAGTGCCTAATCGACTAGTCGACTATCTGATAAGCAACACACTAGTCAACTAGTCGCTCTCCCCCCTTGCTGCCTCTAGCACAAAGAAGCAGCAAGAGAGGGAGAGAGGACAGGGTGCTGGGGGGAGCCAGCTTAAAAGCCAGTTCCCCCCTGGCTCTAGCTCTGTGGGAGGGAGCAGAGGCACAGTGGCAGCGTTCCAACTTTGAACTGTATAAGAGTCCCAGCTGGAGTTCTTGTACACATGTCATTTCAATCTCTGAAATGCACAAGACAGGGGCTCTTGGATATTTCAAAGGCGGAGAGCCGTGCTTGGCCTTATTGACTAATCGAACAGTCGATGGAAATCCCATCGACTATTCAATTAGTTAATTAATCAAAATGGAACATCCCTAAGTTAGACCTCGATGGTGTTTTTGTTTCTTTTTTAACTGTTAACAAACTGAAATGGTTGAGTCCTTGCAGTCCTTTGGCTCTGCAGCATGAGATCCAGTGGGCAGTAACTTACACCTTTTCTCTTGATGTGCTCTGACAGAGTACTAACTTCTAGATGGCTTCAATGAAAGCAGTTAGGTCTCTAAGGAAAGTGGGGACAACCTTCATTAGCAGCTTCTTCTTGGAGCTGCAGCAGCTGTGGATTTTCTGGTTTTGCCCCGTCTGGCCAGCATGACTCACTGATCCTGGTATGTAGATTTGATGCCTCGACTCAGTTCTCTGGTGGTCTAATTCAGAAGGAATTCTGCCATCACTTCCATTGGCATAAGTGACAGGGAACTTAATAAAAAATAATCTACATTGATCAAAATGCTGTGTTTATGTGGCCTGTTAGATAAGATACAGCAGTAAAAATGATATGGGGAAAGCATACTGGGATTTTGCCACCTGTTTTCTGTTAAAATTAATGCAAACAAGACATAGTATAAAAATAACTAGTGCACGACTGGAGAACAGGTGGTTATGAAGAATATGTACAAGACACTAAATTGGAAACCATTCTAACCCTGGTTCTGTCACTGACCTGTATGGGTTTGGGCAAATCAGTTTTTTTCTCTGAAATGGGAAACAAAAGGTCATACTTCCATCTGAACGTGATGCAGATTAATTTAGGTCTGGGTAATGCTTTCAATATATAAAATGCTGTCTAAAACAGCAGCATTGTGGTGCATGACCGCTTCACAGTTTTGTTTAACATTAATTTAACGGGAAATCACAACCATTCCACCCCATGAAGGCAGCAACTTTTTTTCTTTAAAAAAGACATCGATTAAAAGAAGCCAGAAGATAAGACTTTTCTGATGGAACCACTGTTAAGGTATTGGAAAGGGATAGAGACCATTGTTAAGGTTTGGGAAATGGGTGAGAAAAATTTGTTGATCTATCAATTAACAGTTCTCTTTACCAACATAACAAAGTTACAGATCAACAGACATAAAATTTGACGTATTGGGTGAATAAGAATTGTGGGGAGGGAAACGCTATGCATATAAGAAGGATTCAGGTAAAAAAATTATATATCAGATTCTTTAACTAAGTATATAAACAACAAATGTCTTTTAATAACTCATTACTATTTTTAGTAAGATTGTTTTATATTTGTAACCATAGAACAAAAGCTAAATAAGGGTTTGGCAGTAGAGTCACTCCCACTCTTAAAATGGAGAAGTCTATATTACTCTTTAAACGTCAGTTTCAAATAGAGCCAGAGGCAAGACTCACATCTGTATGTATACTTGCATTAAAAGGGGTTTGCCAAATGAGATGTTATACCTTCCAGAGATGACTTCAGGTGCTGCATAGTTTGGAGAGCCACAGCTGGTTCGCAGAAATTCACCATCTGACATCATGTTCGACAACCCTAAAAACAAGACTCTTGCATATTGACATGTGCTTTGAATGTATGGTTCATGAGAATTCTATGCTTCTAAGAGGATAGGAGGAGGAGTAGCAAGCAAAGGATTGGGGGACATTATGAAATAATAAAATTAAATAGTTGGAGGCGTCTGGAATGACGGGGCCCAATATATTACAAAAAATTCTGACATCACGTGTCACTTGGAGAAAGACTGCATTTGCAAAGAGCCACCTCAAACTGTTAACTAGCTTGCAAAATCATACTGAGGACTTCTGTTGCTACTCTTTAGTAAAATGAAGTGATCCCAACAGGAAAACAGCTCTACAAAAGGAGTAGGCACATGAGAGTAGAAGTAAAAGGCTTCAAAAAAGACCTAGATACATTCATGGAGTATAAGTCCATCGGCTGTTAGCCAGGATCACAGCTGTCCCTTGGGTACAGCGAATCAGTGTGACTGCCCCAGATGCTATGGTCCAGGGCTGGTGCACCCACCAACAACCCCCTATCAGAACTTCCGTGTCCCCCTCCTCCAATGTCTCAGGCCCATCGGAGAGCCCCGCCAATCAGCACCTCACCCTCCCTAGAAGCTCCTACTGCCTGCCATGGATCCGATGTTTCGTAGCATCAGGAGGCAGTGGGAGGAGGGAGGAGTGAGTATGCAATATGTTTGGGGGAGGGGTGGAACTAGATGGGGAAGTTGTGGTGGCAGGAAAGAGGTGAGGGCAGGGCACTGGGGAAGGAGTGAAGCATGGGCAGAGCTAGGGGGAGCACCCCACAGCAGATTAGAAACTTGGCGCCTATGTCCCAGGCCCAGCACCCTCCTAAGGGTAGCCTTGGCCATGATGATCAAGGATAGTGCTTCTGGCCTCTCTTTGCCAGAAGCTGAGAATGGATGACAAGGATGGATCACTTGAAGATTCCCTGTTCTGTTCCTTCCCTCTGGGGCACCTGGCATTGGTCACTGTTGGCAGACAGGATACTAGGCTAGATGGGCCTTTGGGCTGACCCAGTATGGACGTTCATATGTTCATACAGGGATAAATTCCACTCTGAGGTAACTGCATTGGAGTAACTGCATTAGCTAAATGTTTTTTAAATTATTACATCAAAAAGAGTGATGAATTTGCCAATTACATGTCTCTCCACTGTAATAAAACCCATGTATTTTTATACCACAAACACAAAAGCTCTAACTAGCAATGCCGGTCTTCATTGAAAGGTGCATGTTTACAATTATGAACTCTTCCATTTAAATTATGAAATTGTTAATGACTATGCAAACTGACTCCATTCTGTAAGGCGTGTTATGTTGATGCACTCCAGCAAGTGGCTTGTAGCTGGCCGCATTTCTGGAATGCTGTGGGGGTCACATACCAAAATCAGCTATCTTGGCATTCATGTGTGCATCCAGCAGCACATTCTCTGGTTTCAGGTCTCTGTGGACAACCATGTGCCTGTGACAGTAATCCACTGCGGAGAGAATCTGCTGGAAAAGGCGTCTAGCCTCTGCATCTTCCACCTACAAAACACCAGAAGAAGCTGTTAAAGCTTTATCTGAAATGACACTTGGCAAAACAGTTTTGGCTCCGGCATGAGTTGGAAAACTCTAGAATGCACAAATAAAATTAAAGTCATCAGATTACAAGATTGTAAACAGAACCAAAAGTATAAAGCAGATTTTCCCCCTTGCACTGGATACTGCATTAGGCTGGGTCTAGACTGGCAAATTTTTCCGCAAAAGCTCCTGCTTTTGCGGAAAACCTTGCCAGCTGTCTATACTGGCCACTTGAATTTGCTCAAGCACACTGACGATCTAATGTAAGATTGTCAGTGTTCTTGCGCAAATACTATGCTGCTCTCGTTTGGGAAAAAGCCCTCCTGCGCAAAAACTGTTTTGCGCAAAAAAGCCCCGATGGTGAAAATGGCAATCGGGGCTTTCTTGTGCAAAATCGCATCTAGATTGGCACAGACACTTTTCCGCAAAAAGTGCTTTTGTGCAAAAGAGTCCATGCCAATCTAGATGCTCTTTTCCGCAAATGCTTTTAACGGAAAAACTTTTAACTTTTCCGTTAAAAGCATGTGCGGAAAATCATGCCAGTCTAGACGCAGCCTTACTGTTTCGAAATAAAGCTAATGCTCACAAGTCATGTGACAAAATTAGGAAAAGTTAAATTCAGACTTTTCACAATGACAGTGCTTAAATTGCATGAGGACTGAGCCTCTGGCACATCTAGCCTTGGCAGTTTATAGCCTTCACACCTCTGGGCTTGCCCTGTCAGTTATGAAAAAACCTGCTTGAGCCTCAGCACCTCTTTCATTACAAATTAAGCACCAAGAAAGGGCTTCTGAGCAGTGAAATCCATTAAACTATGACCTAGTCTCACGAAGGAGTCAACAGCAGCCCTATCGTGTGAGATTTTAATCTAGACTTGACAAAGCATTACCAATGTTCTACAGGGAACAATTCCACCCTGAGGAATGCAGTAGGTGGCTTAGGAGAAGTTAAAAATGGACCAGCTGTATGAGTCTCTAATGAGGAAGAATGCAACGGGGAATGAGTTTGTGTTTGATCATTTGTACTGATAATTCTACAATGGTTCCTTTCACAAAAAAATGTAGTTTCTATATGTCAAAGTTCAGAAGGATCAAGTATTTTCTATAAACTGGAAACAATCAGGCTGAAAATCAGAACTGTATTCATATATTTAAGGGACGAATGGAAATGACTCCTTCTACCAGTGCACTTATATAAAATAGTTTAGTATAAAATGCATTTATTTTGTGACATTACAGAGAGAAGAACATTAGCATTGTAGCCTGAGCTTTCCCACTATCCTAAGACCCTTATTAGCCCAATGTATCTGCTCCTGGCTGGTAGCTGTATGAAACCTACCAAGACAGCCATAAGGGAGTTACCAGCGAGTCTCCTTGTAATTAATATTCCATTTAGCAAAACCATTTTATTCATCAACACCATCCCACAAATGTGTATCTTGGCACAGGAGCGTGTGCAGCAGGGGAGAGGACAAGCAGGAACGTGTGCCCTCCTTCCTCCTCCCCCACAACCCAGGAAGGCCAGGGGTGAGGAGTGTGAGATCCTCTGGTCCCAGACTGTAGCAAGAGATCCAGCTCCACAGGCTGCGGGGGGAAGGGGAGAAGAGCCAGCTCCTCCAACCACTAAGGGAGAGCAACTGCCACTGGCCTGGGTGATAGAGGGGGAGGGCCAGCTCCGCTAGCAGTGAGCATGGGGGGGGGCAGCCCCTCGGACCACATGTTGATTTCTGTGCCCACCCCTTTCTCTCACTTACACGTCCATGCTTACAGATGTAATCAAACAATTCGCCACCAGATACATATTCCATTACCATGAAAAAATCGGTTGGCGTGCTGATGACCTGGTATCTTCAAGAACAAAAGAGAGAGAATTTAGGAAGACTAGTGACAACAGGGCACGGCTTTTAAACGGCTTACTATTATAATTTTTTCCATGCAACAAACATTTTTTTGACCTTGTGTATATAATTGCTTTCTATATATGAAAAGCAATTACTTACATCTCAAGATGATAAACAATTATCTCTTCAAAGCAGGCACCCGCTTCCCACTGGCCCCGGGCTATACGCAAAGTTCTGCATTCCTCCTCTGAAGTGTACAAGAGCCCCAACAGGGGCTCTTGTACACTTCAGAGGAGGAATGCAGAACTTTGCGTATAGCCCGGGGCCAGTGGGAAGCGGGTGCCTGCTTTGAAATGCATTTCAAAGCCATGGGGGCCCGAGGTCAGTGAGGGACTCTCCAGCTGACCCCGGGCTCCACTGCCCCTCTGAAACAGTGCCTCCACGAGTTTCAAAGGGGCAGTGGAGTCCAGGGTCAGCTGGGGACTCCCCAGATGATCCTGGGCTCCCCGCGGCATTTCCCCAGAACCCGGGATCAGCTGGGAGTCCCCAGCTGACCCCAGGCTCAGCAGCAGCTGCTCCTTTGAAACGCCAGAAGTGGCATTTTAAAGGAGCAGCTGCTGCACAGCTGATCTGCGGATCAGCTGTGAAATGGCTGCCCCTTTGTAACATGGCCTTGGGGTTTCAAAGTGGCAGCGCCATACTGCTGTACGGCACTGCCACTTTGAAGTATCCCTTCCCACCTCCCTTTGCTGCCTCTCTCTCATAGGGGCAACAAGGGAGGGAGGGGAAGAAATCGACTAGTCAGCTAGTCTTTAACATCCCTACTTTCAATGGTCTGCTGAAAGCGTCTGTTTCATAAACTCACCTCTTCTTTTCTCATTCTTTCACATAATCCTCTGAAATCTTTGCCACATTAATTTACCACTCTTGTAGGACTAACCTGATTTTCAAATTTCCATTTTACAGCAATGTCTTAAGAGATGCAGGCTGCCTTCAAATGCAAAAAAATATATATAACACCCTTCTCCCCCCCCCCCCCCCCCCGCGCCG